AGGACTTGTGAATATCCTTATTTTTAAGAAATATATTTTCTTACTAATTAAGGCTGGGAGTTCTGCTGTAAAACTACTTGAACGGGAAGTGAGCATCTTAAAAGCAGTAAACCATGAGCATATAATACATCTTGAAGAGGTATTTGAGACACCAAAGGTAAGATTTCATAAATACTGTATAAATCCCACAATACAATTCACTAAAGAACAAACATGATGTGATGGTAGCAGATAGTTGTGTTAGAAGTGAGTTGCTGTTGAATTTCTCTAAAGTAGAGACAGAATGTTACAAGAGTGTTGAAATCCCACTACTACCATGCTGCACCTCCTCCAATCATCCAGTGGCACTCTGAAATTGAGGCATATTACTTTTGGAACAAAAATCTTTCCCTCTATGTGTTGCCATCTGTCTTTGCCATTCATCTTTGCTATGCCTGTCTACTGTGCCTAGGGAGTAATAATTGAAGAGCCTCGTGGCGCAGTGGTTAAAACACTGTACTGCAGCTAAAACTGTGCTCACGGCCTGGGGTTCAAATCCCAGGTAGCCGGCTCAAGGTTGACTCAGCCTTCTATCCTTCCGAGGTCGGTAAAATGAGTACCCAGCTTGCTGGGGGGGGGGGGCAATGTGTAGCCTGTATAATTAAATTGTAAACCGCCCGGAGAGTGCTTGTAGCGCTATGGGGCGGTATATAAATCCAAAAAAAAAATTTCTGTGGTATTCTTCTTGATGTTTACCAAGAATGAAACTAATATTTTCGAATATTTCTAGTGGCCAGTTCTGGTAATACATGTGAAAATAGTTTTTTTCTGGATTTGTTTTCTTTTAATATTGTTAATATTTTCAGACTCTGGATAAGTGAAACTGCAGATACTAGTCCCTACTGTAAATTGCACTTCATGGTTTATATTGTTGTAATATCTCCATTAAGAAGTGTAACAATTAGCCAGTGAAAAACATGAATCATGATTAATTTATCTTTTTGTCTTGGTAAACAGCAATTTATACAATTTTATACAGTACTTGAAATTCATAACTGAAACATTTCAAGTTAAAATACCTTTACTTCCATATTGCTTATTAGTAACAATTTCTGCTTTCTTGGTTAATGTTAGCGTGTGTACCTTGTAATGGAGTTATGTGAGGATGGTGAACTTAAAGAGATTCTTCAAAGAAGGGGTCAATTTACAGAGAATGAGACACGGCACATAATTCAGAGTCTTGCTTCGGCAATAGCATATCTTCATAGAAAAGGTAAGACTGTTCATTCTCTGTTGTATTACCCATTTCTGCAGCATTACTTATTTCAAATTTTGATTGTGACCCAGGTAACTGAAAACCATCATTCGTTATAAGAATTTAACAAAACATTACTATTTTTATTTCTATATCCTGTCCTAATCATTTTTCCTAGTTCATTACAAGTAGTTACCGTATTTTTTGCTCCATAAGACGCACCTTTCCATAAGACGCACCAATTTTTTAGGAGAAGAAAACAGGAAAATATAATCTGTTTTCTTCCCTCCATAAGACGCACAGACTTTCCACCCTCCTGTTTTGTGGGGAAAAAGTGCGTCTTATGGTGCGAAAAATACGGTATTTCACGAAATGCACACACAAAATTTCATCATAGAGGGAGAAAGCAGAAATAGAATGCTTGAATTCTTATCATCCATTATTTGCTATAGGGTCAGTCCTGGTGAATTCCCTTGCCTCAGGTGGCAGGTCCTCCAGCTACTGATAGGGTCAAACAGTAAAATCTCACACTAGAGTGAGGCAGCACTATGGCAGATGTTGTGGAGAGCCCCACTAGTGCAGCATCCCAGTGAATCCCTGATGTAGCCACCCAGTTGAGGAGATCCTATTGTTTTGACCTCCCTCAAAGCACATCAGAGGGTGGATGGCTGCTTCAGCATAGAAAGACTTATTGGAGAGCTGTGGCAAGCACAGAAAGTGGTCACCATGCCTGTTTTCAAAGGTCAGGTCCATGCAGCTGTGAGAGAAATACTTCTGTAGACGTTGTGGGAGATGTGTCCTAGGAGTTTGCCTGTGCTGCTCCAGGGTGTATGTGTTCACTGATCTTTGGAGTGTGAGTGTCAGTAAATGGAATGACAATGGCTTGTGTCCTCCCACCTAAAGCGGTGGGAGATCTCTGTCTTTTGCTGTATACGTAAGCCTTAATCCATAAAGCTGTTCAGTAAGATTTGCACATACAGTAGGCTTTTGAGCCATTTTTTCCTGATGGAGTCCTGTCCTTCCATACACTCTTCCAAGCCAGATTTCAGGAGGTCCCTCAAAGAAAAAGTAAGCAAGCACGCAAATAAACAAACATACAAATAAGAACAGGGAGTTGCAAATTTGTGTTTAAATGGGTTATTTGTATCTTGTCCATAGTTTTCAGCATTGGCATCCAGAGTGAGTAAGTGAAAGAAAGTCATGGCTGCTTTTCATCATCTCTGTCTCCCTGCCCCATCAGAATGGTCAGCAGTTTAGAGGATTAGCCTGAGCACTGTCACCTAGGATGAGCAAACAAGCAAGACTGAGCTATGGTTAATGTAGCAGGAATGATTATGGTTTGAGCACTCACAATTTGTTGCTGTCGTCCAAAGGAAGGGTGCTATTGAGTGAACTGTTCTATGCATATTCTCTTCCTCAAAACACCATGCTGATGGGAATGGGAGTAATCCTTACTGCAGCTTTCCCTTGAAAGAGGGGAAGGGACAGAATGGAAGGGCAGAGGATTCCGCACTATGGAGTCCGGTTCTTCACCCCATTCTGCTCAGAGATAGAAACCATGACACAATTAGATAGATTTTTGAAAGTTATTTCATTTTTAGAAATAAAAAACACATATTGAGGATGGAAGAGAGTGTACAGCTGTGAATGGAACCAGAAATATGGATTAACATGGAAAAAATGAGAAATGTTTCTTTATCCCTTCTTTGTTGATCCTTATGCTTTTTCCTCAATGCAGGAAGAAAGTTGATTTTTTTCATTTGATACACTAATTCTACAAATTGGTGCTTTTAAAGTAAATCATGTGACAAATCAATTATTTAATGTCATAAAATCTATGCAGGCTTTTCTTTTTCACTTTATTAGAAGAATGGATCTAAGTTTCATCCAGGTTTGTATTGTACAGACAATACTATTTCTATAAAAGCAAGAATTCAGTGTCTGCTTATGAACTTTAAAGTAGGATGAAATGTACTAAAATGTAGCTTATAAATTACTCAATCAAAAGGGTTTAAAACATTTCTGTCAGAATATTTTCAACGCAATTGATAAATAACACTTTTGCTTTTTGTTCTCCATCTTGACAGATATTGTTCATAGAGATTTGAAATTGGAAAACATTTTAGTTAAAAGCAGTGACATTGATGAAGAAAATGAAATGAAATTAAATATAAAGGTAAGCCCAGAAATGGCAACACTTTACTTCAAGCAGTTCTGTTGGTTGAGTGTGCTTTTTTTAAAAAAAGATACAGGTATCAAAGTGAAGTTTCCTAGCAAATGCCTATTAGTAGCTTTTAAACTAAGGTGTAATCAAGCCAGAAAGAAAGGGTCTGACTTAGAAAAATTGAGAAGAGTGTAGGAGTCAAGTGCCACTGGAAAAACGTTTGCTCTATGAATAATAATATACTTAGAGGTCATTTCAAAAGAAATATTTTCAATGGTATACTTCATTTTCTTCCATCTTTCGGATATGGTTCCAACCTATTAGCCATGAGCCAGGGGAGCCATAATTAGCATGAATTATGTACACTAGCAATTTTGTTTAAACATTTTATAATTTTGAAAAACATATGATGTTTTACATATCACTACTTTCAGCTTGGTGGGCTTTGGATATTATAAGTATTTATACCTAAACACATTAAATATATCAAGAACTTTCATTCATTTATTTATATGGAAATAATTGGCCCTTGGTGGTTGCTAAATTATATATTACAGTATCCTTACTTACCATTTTTATAGCTGTTGTAAAATAGCTATGAGGATTTTCTGAAATGTGCATGCTGACACAGAGAACTGAAATGCTAAGGTACAGTCTGTGATAAATAAGAGAGATGCTGTGATAAAAATCATTTTATCTCAACTACTGGCTTCTTGCTGAAACTGTAGGGTTCATTCTGCTCCCTTTGTTTGTGTCAGTGGGGTTGTGTCAGGTGCTGGGATTTTTTTGGGTCAGACCAGATGGGAGTCATAATCTATGTGGCCTACCTCGGGAATATAAAAGAGAGTTCTATATTTTCCACCGCTGCCGCCACTGCTTGTAGCAGGTGGAGCCGGGCAGCATGGAGAATGTTTAAAATGGGTAGAAGCCTCTATGACAAGAGATGGTAGTGGTCTAGTATTTATAAAGACTATTTCAGAAGAAAATATGGTATATGTAATGCAGGAAACAATGTGAAATAATTCTAAATCTTCTCAATCCAAAGCTTTCAAAATATGCTCTCAGTATTGGTTATTGTTAGATAGTCACTAAATTGTCTTAGCTGTGCATGTTTTTGGTACAGTCCTGTTCTCCATGTGCCAGCTATGCAGCAAGTGGCAGGATAAAATGTAGCAACCCAAGAGACATCATGCCCTCTGTGGTATCCAGTATCCTGTATCCAGAGTATATGTGATGGACCACTGGGTTCAGGGAGTCCCACTCTAACCAGCAACATTACCTTGTTGATCTTGGAGTGGGTATGCTAAGAGTGTTAAACGTGGATTAAGCAGTGTTTTCAGGGAGTTCCAGAAAATCCACAAGGCTAAGTGCTTAAAACTCTCATGCCAACCCTGCAAGGTAGAAGTGCCACCACACCCCCAAAATTGCCAATTTACCAACGTAGAGATGGCCATGAAGCAGTTCATGCTGGGTTGTCTTAAGTCATCAGATGGCACCACAGGTGCCATGTGTTCCTTTTCCCCACCTCACTCACAGGCTCCCCCACTCACCAGCCAGCATGTGCTGCTGGTTCTGCTTGTTCTGCTTGTCCCTGTCTCACAATCTTCCAGTTCCAGCAAAAATTCTCTTTTCCACCTCCTCCAGCAGCTGCTTACTCACAGCAGCACTGCAGGAATCCCTGCCTTGCCTCCTCATCTGAGTGGGCAGCTGCTGGAGGAGGCAGAGAAGGGAAGTCTGTGGTCCTGTCAGAACTGGAAGATTGCACAATGGGGAGGGAATGAGCAGTGTGCACTGGCTGGTGAGTAGGGAAGCTGGTGGGGTGGGGAAGGGAAATTGTGGTAACTGTGGTTCTGCTCTGACAACTTAAGGCAACCTGGCATGAAGTGCTTCATGTCCATCTCTAATCAAGAACATTGCCAAAAACATAATGTTTAGGGATCACAACAATAGGAGAAGTCCAAGGACTGGATGAAGGTTTAATCACACTCAGTACCAACATTGACTTGATTTCCCTTTCGATCGTCTCTGCATACTTGCATACACAGTAGGATGTGCATGACTGAATAGCTGAATGGTATTCCAGCGGTGTTCTACTTGGCTTATCTGAGAACAAACATTGATACTTTTGCATTAGCTCATACAGTTTTTCTTGTTCATTATTGGTCATTTTAGGAGACAAATACAATTCCTCTATCCCTCCGGCTTCCTGAAATTCTGCTAATGCATCCACAATCTCCTCCTTTGGTTCTTCTCTGGCAGCACATTTTAAAATTACACTGGTCACACAAGTCTTTAAACTATTGCCATGGTAAACTTTAGGTTTAAGTCTAGTTCAAGTCTTTTCAGTTAGGTAATTCAAGGCATTAAGCTTTTGCTTCACCACGAAAGGACTTTCCCATGTGATCTAAAACTTGCTACATTTAACAGAGTTGAACGCTAGCACTCAATCTCCCACATTAAAATCATGATGTCCCACCTTGGTATCATGGTAAGCTTTCTGCTTAAGTTGAGCCTCTTCCAAGCTCTCTCGCTACTTTTTGAATATCTTTCAGCCTCTGCTGTAGCTGCCTCATGAACTCAGCAACAGGACTGTTGGCAGTCTTTCCCTCCAATATATCTTTAAGCAGACTTAAAGGTCCTCACAGACAGTGTCCACTGACCAACTCATGCCTAAAAAGACTTCCTTAGGAAGCATCATGATGTAGAAAAAGGAGATAGGGGAAGGTAATACCCAAGCCTGTAATACCCAAGTCTCTTCCCAGCCCTCTTCCTCCCATTTTGTGTGATTCCTTATGGTGATCCCATAATAAGCATAATGAAACATAATTCAAATAGTTACATTTTTAATATAATTATTTTGATACAGACTATATCATAGTGTATGCTTACGCTATATCTCACTAGTAATCATCTTAATTTCATGTGTGCTCAAGTGCTGGCACAATTTGCAAAGTAAGGGTTAAAGTTGTTTAAAACTAGGCTCTGAATATTTATAAGAGGAACAGTATAGAGCTTTCTCTGTTTAAGGTGCACTGTTAGATGAGATCATTTGAGAGATCTAGTCAAATCCTTTTAGCTCCTACTAAAGTAGTTTTGTAGTGAAGAATTAACTCCTAAGAGAAATGAAAGAGCTGCAACTACATGTCAGTAGGGAATTTTGAAGACAGATGAGTTCTGTTTCTTGTAGGTGACTGATTTTGGTTTAGCTGTACAAAAGATGGGAGGAAGTGAAAGCATGTTCCAGTCTACCTGTGGGACTCCTATCTACATGGGTAAGTTCAGTACTTCATATGATAGCATTCCTCTTCATTCTCATCTTACGAAGAAATGGCTTTTAAATGAATTAAACATTCTTCTGTAGCTTACAGTTAGTATACAGATGCTTTCATTTGTTTACATTTGTGCTAATATTTCCTATCTCTTAGCCTTACACATTGCTTCCAGATGCTTTTTTTGCTTTTAAGTTTGAAGAATCACAACTTTTTACAGTTGCAAAGTATCCTTTCCAATGGAGAACTTCTTAGCTGGAGGCTGCAACTACACTGGCAAGCCAAATTGAAGTGTTTCGGATTTACTGTGGCTTTATTTGCATCATATTTTATGTTTCTGTTCAGTGATCACAAGGAGACTGTGGACTATTTTGGTGCCAGTGTCTACACTGGTTTCTCAATCTGATGCATTTTGATCTGCATCACAGCCCTGTTTCCTTTGATTCCACCCTCTGCTGATTCCTGGCTCTCATTTTATGGTTCATTGTAAAGCTGGTGGGCTGTTACATTGTGCTAGGAACAAGGTACAGTTTTCCAAAGGTCTCCATAATGCAGAACCACATACATATACATCACAGGAACATAGTAGTCTGCTGTAGTTCATTTGAGTTGTTTCTATTTCATATCAATTTTTATCTCTTAATTTTGTCTGCATAGAGGTGATATAGTGCTAAACTAGTACAGTACATCAATGTAGTGATGAGGTAATCCATCACTAAATTCAGTAATTATTTTTTTAAAAAAATTCTTTAAGTAACTAGGGAGAAATGTTGCAAGAGTGGGTGTTCCCACTGTCCAAAACAGCATGCCAAATTTATTACATCACCTGAATACCACCCACTGTCATGCACCCCTTCTTTTGGAGAATGATAACATGGGGAACAGTCAGTTCAATTTGTTTTGGCTTGAAAAAAGTAGAAGCCCCGAGTGGCAGAGGGGAAAAAAATCTCTACATCAGGAGCAAAAGTGGCGGAACGCTTACTCCCAACTAGTTCTACCCGTGTCACCCGTGCGAGCCAGGAGGTAAGGCTGAGGAGCCTGACGCTGAGGGAGGCCCAGAAGGAAAGAACTAGAAACCGGGCCTTCTCGGTGGTGGCTCCTCGTCTCTGGAATAACCTACCTCTGGAGATTCGCGCTGCACCCTCGCTGGGTACTTTTAAGAACCAACTAAAAACATGGATGTATAGGCAGCCTTCTCTTCTAGTTAATTCCTGTCCTCTTTCCTTTTTTATTCTTTTTCTGTTTATTTGATTTATTTTGTATTTTCTCCGTCTTCCAGAACCATTTAATTAATTAATTGTTATAAATTTTTCTTGAACTTGTTATCCTTTATGTTGTAAGCCGCCTAGAGTGGTCGAAATGACTAGATAGGCAGGGTATAAATAGAATAAATAAATAAAAATAAATAAATAAAGTGGCTGGACTGATTTGGGTTGGCCTTTGCATCATGTAGTCAGTCAGAAAAGCAAATTCATCTGTTTTACACCTGAATCCCAGAGTATTTGACCATTTCATTGCAGGCGAAATCAGCTATTGATTAGTGTATGTTGTGCTTCAAGATGATGTCATCTGCCTTTTCTAATCCCATACTTCTACTTATCAAGAGTATTATCTAGTATTGTTTTTTATAGTTAATATTGGTTTGAATATAGTGAATTATTGGCCGAAGAACAAGCATCTTTCAATGTAACATGTTGTACCATTAGATTTCTTACTGAACAACTGAACTGAAAAGATTGTATCTAGTTATGTGCAGGAGTCTGTTTGCATAAGACAGCTTTCCCATTTCCTTCTTGTCTTACACTTCTGTGAGCTCCTGGAAAGCGTCTTGAGACATTCAGGAGAACTTCACAAAAGACCAGAGATGTGGTATCTGGAGCTGCTAGGGCAGGGAAGAACAAGCTTGCATAGACAATGTTAGCAAACTGCTTGTTGTGTCCTAGGCCTTTCTACACTTTGGAGGTGGGTGAAAAAGAGAGTAGGAAAGTCTGCTGTTAACATCTGAAGTTTTGCCCAAATAGCATTGGATACCATCCTCCAAACACTTACATGCCATTTTTATACACCTCTCTACAGTGTTCAGTTTAGTTAATCAACATTTTTCATTCGCAAAGTTAACTTGTACTAATATGAGTAGACGTAGTTTTTTACTTGCTAGAACAAATATAAGGGTAAAAAATGGGCTTGGAAGATCATTAATGATCACACCTATTCCAGTTGAGCAAATCAGTTATCAAAAATGTCAGTAAGCATGCCTTTTATCCAATCTCTGTATAAACAACCATCTCTACAGAATAGTGCAGTTACTGAAACATCCCAAATGCTTTTATATAATAAAGTTTTACAACTGATATTGTCTATTTTGCGGTGGGCAATAGATGACCTTTCAGATATTGCTGGTCAACAACTCTCACCATTGGCTAGGGCTTATGGGGAATTTTTTGCCACCCCAATATATTCTGTTACCCACTCTTTTCTTGACATGAAAGCTAGAATGAGATTTCAGAAGGATCAGTCATGCTATTCTGTCATATCTTTACACAGCAACAAAGGCATGTATTTATGTTTTTACTGATGGGTAGAAATAATGGAGAGGCATTTGTAAAATGGAATGCATGGTTGCTGAGATTTTTCTGTTCTAAAATTCAGTATTGGACAGCCATGCTGCATGGAACTGGCTTTTCTGCACTGTGCATTTTGAGGTTTATTAACTCATATGCAATACTGTACACAGTGGTGTAGTAGTAAATTTGGAAGTGTAGGTGTTTATCATGATACTTCCCATAGCCAGCCCCCAATAATGTCCCAAAATTCTGGATGTTGGATTGGCATATGTCAACAAATGAGAAGAACATGTATTTTGTAACTCCGGGGTCTCATAATTGCCCACTCAAGGTCAAACTGTCCTCAGATTATTTGCATTACACCAGGAATAGCTTGCAGTAGTTTGTAGGAAATAGGAAAATCCATTTCTCTATTAACCAATGAAAATATTGTGGCTAAAAGAGGAAACAGGGAACCCTCAAGGGTTTGGTGGATGATGTCACAGTCCTAGTTAATCAGAAAGTCCTGGAGTTTTGACCCTGAAAGCCATGACTGAACTATACCACTGACTATACGTCAGGTTTTCTGTTTTGTTACAACCCATGGTTTATAAGAAAGATTGATTGGATGGCTGATGATTACATTTACCAAGTTGTGGAAATGAGTTATTGTGTTGTAGTGACTTCTCAGAATTGAAGTTCATGATATGAGTAGTTGCTTAATAATTCCAAAGCGACAAGGGAACATGTTTAAATGAGGATTTCTGACTTGGTGGAAAAGAGCTGAGTGCTGAGAGGAAGTGAATCACTGACTTGGTTGGGGGAGGTACTTCACAGTTGCCAGGGTTATAGCTGTAGTCACAGTCTCTGTGAGCTTATGTGCAGAGGTTTTGAGCAGAATCAATAAATAAGGACATTTTATGTGGGTGTTAATTGGTGGAATTTGCAGGGGAGATTGGGAGTGTGATGTCACAGACTAGACAAAATGAAAGGCATGGATGGAGAGTAAACTGCTGCTGCACTTTCTGCACTGTGTTCATCTTCCTTTCTTAGGATATAAAAACTTGCACCTATAGCAAGTGCAAGCTGATTGCCTGACTGAAAGAGAAGGTGCAGCAGGTGGTGGCCTGCTTATCTCTGCTATGGCTCATTCAGGCGGTGCAACAGGCTGTCCTCAAAGACCAGTGGGGTGGGGAGTGGGAGATTCCTGTAAGAAAGAAAAAGAGTGCCACTTGGAGAAATAGGAGATAGAAAAGCAAGCATATTATAATGCACACTGTGTCCTTGGAGCTAAACAACTGGCATCTGATCCTCTCCATAGACAGTGATTCTTTTGGAACAGGAACCACAGGTAACAAAAATAATGTAAGGGTAGCCATGAAGAGTTCTGTAGAAGGAAGAATTCTTGCACTTCCTAGAGGAGAAAGAGATCTGTGGTGATGTTAACTCCCTGTTGAGAGGGACAGAGGCATCAGTTTATGGCCTAAGAGGATGTAGCAGGAGGGGTGCTGCCTCCTTAGCACAAATATTGTGACTGAGAGCTTACCAAAGCTTATCCAAGTCCATTGACCATTATCACCTCCTTCAAATCAATGTGGGAACAGATGATTCTGTTAGACACAGCCTTCAACACATTGCAATTAACTGTGAAGCTCTGGGAAAAAAGATCCACCTACCTTGATAGATTTTTCAACATTCTTCTTGATGTTCGTGGCCCAAAAAGAGAGATGAGAATACTGGAAGTGAACAACTGGCTACAAAGGTGATGCTATGAAGATTAGTTTGGCTTCTTGGACCATGTTGTGTGTTTACTTGGAGAAGGACTCCCAGCAAGAGTAGAGTTGCCTGTCATGGATGGGAAGAATGTGTGTGCTAAGAGTCTTACAGATCTGGTCAGGAGGGCTTGAAAGTGAATATTGCTGGGTGGAGATGGTATGCCTGAAGATAGAGGGGGAAAGACCGTGCAGTCTAACATAATGATTGCTGGCTACTCCAAAAATGAAATCAGAACCATCAAACCAAGAAAACAACACCAAACTGAAGAGGAAAAACAGCTGCCCACAAATAAAGTATTTCTACCATACATCAAAGGGGTCACGGACCGCATGAGAAAACTTTGGAAAAAGCACAACCTACAAACAGTATTCAAGCCCATCACAAAAATACAACAAATGTTACTGTCAGCAAAGGACAGAAGGGACTCCCTCACCACTGCAGGAGTATACCGGATACCTTGCAGTTGTGGCCAAGTGTATATTGGAACCACAAATTGAAGCATCCACACTAGAATCAAAGAACATGAGAGACACTGCAGACTAAAACAACCGGAAAAATCGGCAGTAGGAGAACATGCCCTAAAACAAGCTGGACATGAAGTTCTATTTCAAAATATTGAAATATTGGACAACACCAGCAATCGTTATGTTAAACTGCACAGGGAAGCCATTGAAATCCACAAACACCATCAGAACCTCAACAAAAAAGAAGAAAATTT